GGTACCCTTTAAAGGAAATCCTTCAGTCGCTGCGGTCGGGCAGCAAGTCCGGCGTGGCTTGGAGGCCAGAGTTGGGCGCTGCTTGACGGTACACGCCCCACATACCTGCAGAAACTTACGGCAACCTTTGGGGTTCAGGGTTTAGGGTTTAGGGTTTGGGGCAGTTAACTTAGGGCGACCTTTGGGGTTCAGGGTTTAGATGACTGCATCTATAGGGGCTTAATAGTTTGAATAGGGTTTGAGGGAGATTATATCATAACTATAATAAGGAACCCTCAAAACCCTATTCTAATTATTAAGGCCCCGGCATTCCCGACCTTCATCCAATTTTTTGAAGCCTCCGCATAACTGCACGGCTGCCCGGCACGGCGTCAAATCCAAAAACAATAATCTAATCACCATCCCCGAGCATGCCCGACCCGCTTTGGGTGTTTGCCTCCCGATTAGGGGTAGGGTTTCGGAGAGGCAATCAAGCGTGGCTTAGGCTTAGGGTTTAAGTTTCCGCGCTGAGGGTTTGGATTGACTTCCTGTTAAGCAGGAAACACTACTCTTTCCATGTGCTGCCGATCACGGGATGTCTAACCTTAACCTCGTTTGGGGTTCCTGGGCTCTCAAGCTCTTGAAACTTGACCGCCCCGCGGCCCAAAGTGGTTAAGGCTCGAGCTGCTCCACAGCCGCTAGCAAAGCCGTGCTGTGCAGCATGTAAGCCCTGAGCCCTGAGCATTCTCTTACACACCCACACACACACACACACACACGTCTGTCAAAAGAGGATTGGATGCCCACCTCATCCCGAAGCCTTCCTGCTGACATGGAAACCCCAGAAACTCTCAACATCACAGGTTCAAAGGTCAGCCGAGCAGCGCAGGGTCGAGTACATCGGGATGGGCGCGAGTCCCGGGAAGTAACCTCAATGCCAAAACTCCCAAGCCCCTTTTGCAGCTGGGCCTCTATCGCCGGGTACGCTCCCTTTTTTGAGCTCGTGCTGAAACCCCAAAACCCTAAGCCGTCGCCTCAGTCGTTGGCAGGGATCCTCGGAAGCTCCCTTTTCTTGAAAGAGCACATGTATGCACCAGCTGCAGCGAGTTGCGCATCCTGAAATCCTAAACCACCGAGTATCTTTCCTAAAGATGCTCAAGGGTCGAGATAAGGTAGAGGCCTTAATAATTAGAATAGGGTTTTGGGGCCCAGTCTACTATAGTCAAAAGAAGGAACCCCCAAAACGGGTAATGATTTAGGCCCCTATGTTAGTCTGAGGAAACTCTGGTGGAAGCAACCCTAGAGCGTCTCAGGCGCTGAAGCCCCCCCCCACGGGCACAAGAACTACACACATCCGGTTTAGAGTTTAGGGGTTTAGGGTTTAGGGTTTAGGGGTTTCGACTCTCACACTCGCTGGGGTTTAGGGTTTAGGGTTTAGGGTTCACCTCTTGAACCCTCCAACCTCGAGCCCCATAGGCCCTGCAGCCCCATACTTTCGGCACCCAAAATCGTCAACAGGCGGATCCCTCAAGCTCTGTTGTAGAACTCACCGACCCTAAACCCTGAAGTGTAGGGGTTTAGGGCCTTAGCCATAGCCCCATGACCTTCTGGCCCAGAACCCTCCAACAAAGGGCCCTAAATAATTACCATTACTCTCTGGGGCTTCTTTATCATCGTTATAGTATGCTTAACCCCCTTGCAAACCCTATTCTAAATATTAAGGCCCCTGCATTACACCCTAGGATTCCGATCAGCAGCTAAAGGTGGCCAAGTCGGGTTGGACGATGTGCTGCCAATCCAGTGGCCCAGAGCCATCCCAGAGCCCCGACTCCTGGACATCTTCGCGGGCTGAAGGGTGCAACTGGGTGGTATTAGGTCTAGGGCTTCTAGGGTCTACGATGGCTTAGAGTAAAATGTGCAAGGCTTTCTGGAGATTGGGCTTTAGGTCCCTGTTGTGTGTCAGGGTGGCGGGTTTATGGTGTAAACAACCAACCCCAACCTAACCCGAAAAGCCAGCAGCCCAGACACTAAACCCTGAACATCAAATCCTACATACAAGGTCCGATAAGGAGGAACCCCATGATATACGTATACTAGCACCAAGAGTTCTCCGTGAATTTTTGTCCACCCAAACCGTAGTCTGTTGAATCCTAATAGCGGGCCTTTGCAATTAGAGTAGGGTTTGGGGCGGCATACTATACCATTACTATATATATATATATATGTATATGTATATATATATATATGTATATGTATATATATATATATATATGTATAACAAGGAATCCTGTGAAAAAACATATTCAAGTTCCTACCCGAAACCCTAACAGTCCCTGGCCTTCAGAAGATCCACTATTCCAGGGTGCGCCATGAAGTTCTCTTTGTCCGCCAAGTCCACTGTGCGGATGATCATGCCTCAAGGTAGCGGTTTACTATAGGGCTTGGGGTTTAAAGCTTAGGGTTCAGGGCCGCACAAAGTGAATGTTTGAGGAATGCAATCATCACCACCACCGTCATCACATCACTTCCGCGATCATCATCAGTTAACATCATACTCAAAATGATCAACAACATGATGTTACCACCATCATCACCGTGGCAGCATCTTCACCATCGTCATAATTATATTCAGCGGCATCTATGTCTTCTTTAGCCAGATCATCGACAACAGAAGCCTTTCCGGTGAAGATCATGCTCATGCCGCCGGATCCGTATCCGTATCCTCCTTCCTCCTCCGTTTGTCACAAATTAGCTGACCCAGCAGTCGTTAGTCAAGAGGCAATATGCAAACCCAATCATATAAACACATGGACAAAACACATCCTCTCCCTCTTCTTCACTGTAGCGCAGCCAAGAATCAAGAAGCAATGCATAAACCAAAACGCATGGACAGAACACCTCCGGTTGTCAGCTGTAAGTACTTAGTATGACCCGTGCTGATCCATGCTGCCGGGGCTGCTGTTGGCAATCACGGCCACATGGCCACTGGGCACGCGCTGGGCGACCCAGAGCGCACCACGTTGTCCAGCCCAGGGTGCCGAGGTCGCATTGTTGGGAACTCCACCTGAGATGTCAAACCTTGAGGTACCTAATTAGCAGCTGCGGTTGTCCAGCGGGGATGCTGCTACCACTTTGTTGCCGGTCAAGTGATAAGACACGACTGCAGACAGCTCCGAACCATGACACCCGAACCTTACGAGCAGACCCCCAAAATGCGCTGTTGGGTCCGGGATCCACCTGACTGGCTTGTCAGTGTTCCTATACTCCCCCAACTCAATACCCTCCACCGTTCACCGCTAGCTGCGCCTCACACCCACACTTTTTGCTGAAGGTTTCTATATACAAAAATTATATGTACATATGTATATTTTCTTTAATGGGGAATCCCAATCCGTATAGAGACCGCCAATCCCAAACCCCCAACCCTGAAGCGCGAAGTCAGCACGGCCCTCAACCCCACGCACGACCTGTTGCAAACCCTCACGGGCTTCCATGCTGCCAGAATGGCACCCCCGAATCTAGTATTAACCTTGATAGAGACCCAGCAAAAGCCTCAACCGACATCCGGTAGAAGCTGTCAAACCCCCTGATGGAAACACAAATGCAAACTTCCCTACCCTAAACCCTAAACCCCATAAGCCCTAAACCCTAAGCCCTAAACCCCATAAGCCCTAAACCCTAAACCCTAAGCCCTAAACCCCATAAACCCTAAACCCTAAACCCCATAAACCCCATAAGCCCTAAACCCTAAACCCCATAAACCCTAAACCCCATAAGCCCTAAACCCCTGCGTGCAGCCGGAGGATCCGCAGATGTGGAAGACCCAAGCCTCCCCTGTTCGATCCACCAGGGTGACGGCCTGCCGAACCCAGGAAGCCCGATGGGGTTTAGGGTTTAGGGTTTAGGGTTTTGGGTTTAGGGTTTAGGGTTTAGGGTTTAGGGTTTAGGGTTTAGGGTTTAGGGTCTAGGGGGATGGAAGCCCAACTACCTAAGGGCTTACCTAGACCCCCCCAACTACCCTCTATTATCCCCAAATACCCACTATGAAGGACCATAAAAGGGCTCTATTAAAGGGCCATTGGGGGGTCCTGGTAGGGTTTCACTCGAAGAGTTTATCAGGGTTTAGGGCTTAGGGCTTTATTATAAGAGTTTAGCAGGGTTTAGGGCTTAGGGTTTCATAAACAGTTTATCAGGGTTTAGGGCTTAGCGTTTCATTATAAGAGCTTATCAGGGTTTAGGGCTTAGGGTTTCATTATAAGAGTTTATCAGAATTTAGGGATTAGGGTGATGCGGTTTAGGCTTTCGGGTTTAGGAGGGATTGGAGTCAAGGTGCGAGGACAGTTGTAGGGATTGGGGCGGGCTCAGAGCTGTAATACTTGTGGCTGTTCTCAATTAGTGTTCGCTTTGGCTTGACATTTCCAAGCAGGCTGTGAACCCAGGAAGACGGCGAGTCGGGGGGTTAAGTCTTTAACTCATTGATGCTTTTTGACTTGATGTTCCGTTCCTGAATATTCCAGTTTCGAGTTCACGATTTCAGGTGGCAATGGCAAAATCTTCAACCATCGTGACAAATCCAACCATGCACACCGTTTAGGAGTTTAGGGTTTAGCCTAAAGCCAAAACTTTGCTGAGTTTAGTTGCTAGGATCGTGACTCAGGTCGCACGTTGGTCGAAGCTCGATCTCCGATCGAGCTTGCGCCTTCACCGCTGTGGTGCTTCGCAGGACTGTACAACTGTAAACAACTGCTTGTAAGCAGAACGGACGATTAAAATTGCAATGTTTCAAAATCAGAGCCGTGTGACAAGATTGGTGGCTAATGGTCCATCACCACTCTTGCAGACAAGCCACTGCCAACCATATACGTACTGCACATGGATGGGTCCAAAGGGACCTGATTTCTGACCTACTGAACCCCGCCTGCTGCTCCCACTGCCTCTGGCTCATTTGCGATCCGACGTTCCGAGGAAATCAGAAGCCGGTCGGTCTGTCTCAAAACAGTCTATACACTCGTAGAAGCGAATCACGCTTTCTTGGCATCCCATTTCCCTTCCTTCTTCATCCTGAGCTGGCCCGTATAACCCGTTTAGAGCATGTGTAAGCAAACTTCTCAGACTCGACGCACTATTAAGAAAAAAATGTCCCAATTGCCGACCTAGCATCGTCTCCACCATCCACTGCACAACTTTCAGTCCGGCTTCGGAGGCCGCCGGCGCATCGCGCTCGCAAAGCTTTGCCCTCTGCTCTAGGGACAGGTCACCTGAGAGGATCACAGAGGAAGGAACTCCTTCTGAAGAGCCCTTTAGGAAGTAGGGTCCTTACCACTACACGACGAACGCATGCAGAGCAATTATAAAGCAAAAGCCCAGTTTATAAAATCTACTAAAAATTAAATACAACAAATACAACCCAGTTTATAACATCTAATAAAATTAAATACAACAAATAAAACCCAGTTTATAACATCTAATAAAATTAAATACAACAAATAAAACCCAGTTTATAACATCTAATAAAAATTAAATACAACAAATACAACTTTATCTGAAAATTCATTTCATGACCATTTTGACCATTTAAGAAGCCCGCCTAGAACCAGGCCATCGGATTTCACGATGCCATCCTTTCCTGGCATGGCACGCATCCCAATCTTGACCTGGGACTTTCCGAAAATTTGGGTACCTTATTTTGGGGTCCTTATAATAAGGATCCTATTTTTTAGGGTACTATATTAGGGGCCCCTATTTTTGGAAACCCCCACCTGGGTTCTTGTGACGTTTAGGGTCTAGGGGCTTGCTGAGGATGTTCATTCGAGTTGGTGTAGTTGGGAAGCATGCTGTTGATTCTATGTCGCTTTCCCTACAAGGGCACTATGGTGATTTATAAAAAATAGTCCATGACCAGAGCCCCGTCACTGTCTTCTGTAGCATCCATCCGTGGTACTGCATGAGGGTTTGCTTGTAGGCCTCCACACCGGCATTGCGGGTGTCCTGGGTGAACATCAGCTTGATCATGGTCAGGAAAAACTGCCCACCTCTCAGGAGCCACGTGACACCGACGACCGAGGAGGATTTGAGATAGCCGGAAAAAGTTGCCCTCTCTTCTGGAGCCTGCTCGTAGACCACCAGGGCCTTCTTTAAGTTGCTCTCAATGTCACTGAGAACGAAACCGGCCGCTGAGCCAAGCTTGGAGAGCATGTCGCGGTACAGCTCACAAGCCTCGAAGAAATTCGCCATGTCGATGTTCGTGAGGATGCCTGACTCGTCCTGCACTTCGCAGGCCTTGAACTTCTCCACAAGGAGCCCGAACCTGGTTTCGTGCACCAGGTGCACGGGCTTCATGCCGGCTTGTCTCACTGCCTGACGCGGAGCTTCAGCTGTTTCGTCTCGTGATGCGGCATCGACTTCCGGCATCGCGGCAGCGACATGCGGCGAAGGGGATGCAGTGCTCTCGGCTTCCACGGAAGGAGCCGGAGACTGTGTCGAGGTTTCTTCGGCAGCATCGTCCTTCGCCTCCGGCAGAAATCGGACGACGACCTCCTCGGCAGTGGGTACCTGAGTTGCCTGGCAGTTGCCCATACTGAGCAAGCTGCGCAAGACCTCACTGCTAGGGATCGGGATGCAGTCTTGAGCCGCCTCCCAATGCGAGATTTCTCAGCTTCCCTATCTACACCCGGATTGCAAGGGATCGAACCCATCCTTCTGCCCTCTAGGAGCCACTTGGGCATGCTGGCCTTGAAGCGCTGAAAACATGTCCCAGTCCGGCCTGCTTCTGCCACCTGGTAGTTCTCTAAATTAGGATCCCTTTTTCTTAGGTCCCCAAAAGAGTACGGCACCCTTGTAAAAAGGACCCGAAAACGGACCCTAGTCTTACAGGTGCACAACACTAAAACTTAAACCCTTTTAAGCACGGTTTTTTGGGTGTATGCCGGCAACCCTGTGTATGCCGCAACCCTAAACCGTTAAACCCTAAACCCACGTGCTCCTTACCACAAAAGTGTCCACTCTTCGGACGGATGCAACCAGAGACCCTTATTACCGGGTAACGGGTAGGGTGTGTGGCGGGGCTCGAACCTCCCCGGCACCGCCATAGCCGGGATCCTCGCCATAGAAACCGTACTTGGCACCAAGATCACCCATGGTCTGGATCCTAAGTCTCGAGTCCGGGGATCCAGCCCCTAAACCATAAAACCTAAACCCGAAATGGCCCTAAACCTTGACCCCACCGCACACCCCCCTACACCTACACTCGACTCGAACCCCTCAACCCCCACCGCAAGTTTTTTTTAAGTCCGTAGGAAGTTGGGGCTCTTGTTTAGGTGTTGGGGTTTTAGTGCCGGTGTCTCCCTTGATGCTTTCCACTGCGATGAATGAGGTTGATTCGGGGTTTCGAAATTAAGTCTGGGTTAAGTCACTTTGTGATTAATTAACAGAATGGCGACCTAACAGCTGGACTGGCGCTACAGTGGATATCAGCAGCCTCTCGTTGAGGATTTTGAGGTGTGGAGGCTTGCTAAACCTAGTCCAAAACCCCACAAGCAGAAACTAAGCGCCACAAAGGGTCGCACAGCGGGCAGTCTTGCAGCGCTCCAAGGCGATGGCCATCAGATTCCCAATGCTGAAAAGGGCAGTTCCACCATCGGACACTCCTCTTCGGGACTTACGGTTCTACCTGGACCTTTCCAAACGTGCCTTTTGGACATTTCTGGACGTGACCCACAAATCAAAGGCCACAAACCCAAGCAGGTAGCTTCTGTAGGGCCCAGGTATGGTTTGGATGTTCAGTTCACAACATAATCTGGGCTTTGAAGTAACCAGGGAGAAAAAAGTATAGACTTTTATTTCATAATGGCTCCTTTAAGGAACAGGTCCCAAAAAAAAGTATTAAAGCTCCAAAGCTCAGATTTAATATAGGCATTATGACTGGGGCTTGTACACATCTGTTTGGGGGAGCCGAATGCATCGGCACCCCCTAGCCCGAAGTTCTGGAGGCTCGGGTTTAAGGATAGCCATACAGGTTGCACGCAATGTAGGGGCCTCAATAATTAGAATAGGGTTTTGGGGGTTCCTGATTATAACCATTATAGTATAATGTACCCCAAAACCCTAATTCTAAATAGTAAGGCCCCTATATTATAGCAACGAAACTCAATCAGGAGCCTCCGCAGGATACGCTGCCATGTTCTTATGATGAATCTAGTAGCATGTACGTGAAACCTGTCCCAAGACGAAACATGCGCACTGTCTACGCCGCCTCCTTGGGGAAATGTAAGCGCAGCCTGTTTACAGTCCACATGTCCATATACATACGACCATATCGCTTTGTATATCTTTATCTGAGTGTGTGTATGTGTACTTATACTATACTATAGTATATATGCACACACGTGTGTGTGTGTGTGTGTGCGTGCGCCTGTATCGTTTCTACGATTATGTCCACCTTCGGGGAGAGGGTGTGGCAGCAGAGAGCCCTCGGATTGCAGCACTGCAGATCTGCGGAGGGATTTGATCGGGCACTTGTGGGGTCTTCGTCAGGCATGTAAGGGTGTTTTTGTAGACAGTAACTAATTAAACCCTCAACCCTAATGTAGTATGTCGTTGCTCGTGGCATGCAAGCCAAAGATATTCAACTCGACTCTGCCCCCTGCACCCTAGTATAGGGGCCTTAGTAATTAGATAGGGTTTTGGGGATTATTATATTATAGTTATAATAAGGAATAATATCGGTAATTTTTAAGGCCCCTCCAGTAGTCCCTCAACCACCGCGCCTTTCCCAACCAGGAAGGCCGGGCACGTGGACTCGCCCAGTCCTGTCTTAGTTTTGGACCTTCATAATTCAAGGCTTGAGGCTTTGGTATAGGATTCGTGTGAAGGCTGCAAGGTACTTTTGCAGGTAGACGGTAGATGCTCCGCTGGGCTTCGTGGTTTCCCGTGTTATGTTTGCCTCGTCAGATTCACCGGCCATTGAAAGGGCTATGGTACCACTTTTGATGATATAAACCCTGCACTACCTTATCAGGACCCGAAACCATGGGAATTGAGGAATAGTCTTTATTATGGGTAATGCAGGGTTTTATATCATCAACCGTAGTAGCCGTAGTATACGATTGTGCAATCCTCTGTCAGGTCAGCTGGATGTAGTAAGCCGAATCTTGATCCGTCGGCGTGCCCCCAGATGCAATGGCTTTACCTGGGCTTTCCTGTAACTGCTGCAAACCATCACAGCTGGTCTTGATTCAAGTTCTACCGTTGTGTGGCTCGTTGCTGTCATTCCTAGCCGTATCACTATCACGATGCCCTGAATCCCGCTCGTAGGAAATGTCTTGGTTTACTGTGAGCACAGAGAGGGAAGAGACTCCAAAACCGGGATTACAGGTTCGGGATTAAAGATGGGTGAAGAGTTAGGCTTTGCGTTCAAGTTAAGTGTAGGGTTGTAAGCGAGTGAGATTACCTAGGTTGGCCAGTAGCTCTTAGATCAAGTGATTAGTTAGTTAAAGAAACCCAAAGCGAAAGGGCTGCCAAACTCCATGAAAGCTTTTACGACGCTATATAAATTCCGCATGAGGGCCCCTATTCTTACAAAGATGGATATTGCGACTAGCCCGGCTAGGATCATTGCATGTTCAGTTGCAGCACCTCCCAACCCTAAACCCTAAACCCCAAGCCCAACCTAAACCCTAAACCCTAAACTCTAAACCCCTAAACCCTAAGCCCAGCCCTAAACCTATTCCAATCAGCCAAGCTTCCCAAGCCATGTTCGTTCATCAAGCCATAGGAGGCTTCCCAAAGTGCATAGGTGTGATTCACCTGAGTCGTTTACGGTTTAGGGTCTAGGGTTTAGGGTTTTGGTGCTTTGGGTTTAGGGTTTAGGGGGGTTTAGGGTTTTGTTGATTTGGGTGTGTGAGTGTGCGTGTTGCGAGGGGAGGTGGGGTGGTCCTAAGTGTCGGGTTAAGGTGTTGTAACGTGTGACCTGGATTTTCGATTTGTATTTCAGGTTTTGCATGTTTTTATTGGATTAGTTTGGGGCTGAGGGAGGGTGTACACAGAGTTTCTGGGTTGTGTTTTTGGGGCCCTTAACAGTATTTATGAATAGGTACCTCTCTGGGAATCATACAGGGAAATTACTAAGTTTCCCATAGTGCCACCTAGGTCTTTGTGGTTTTGGGGATTATGGTTTAAGGCACAGGGTTTTGTTTGGTTGTTTGGCTGAGTATGGGCTTTAGCTTGTGCTTAGGGAGTTGTGGGTGTAATTGTTCTGCTTGGTGCATCGAAGATTCACGAGCATCCCGCTGCATCTTGGCTTAGTAACAAGCGAAGCCACATGCCTTAGGCCTCAACTCCGGGTCCTGTATTGTGGCTCTGTGCTAACGGAGACACCTTGATTAACAAACCTCCTTCGCTCGACATGTGGCTCATATGCGAAACGGTTTACCATCGGGGGTCATACACCCTGTTCGGCGTTTTCGTGTGAAGCCGAGTTGCCTGAGGTATTCGACCGAGCTCCTCCGGGGCACAGGGATAATCAGAGGAAGTGGGTCACGTCGATAAGTCGGGTGCTTCTGCTGATGGTGAGGATGAACAAGATACACAAGGATTCAGCTGCTGCCTTTGTCGAGCAGCTAGCGATTCATTATATTCATTATTGGGAATGCGCTTGGCAATTTTGTTAGTTTGTTGACGTGGATGTTGGTATTGGTGTATGTAGCGCTGCAACTATCGTAGTCTCTGCGGCTGCTGTGGCTGCTAGTGCTTGTGCTGACCACAGCCCACGCGGTTCCGGGTCCGTAGCCGGCATGTGCATCTGCTCGTCGAGGAAAACAGAACGGTCTGCTTTACGATTGCTGTTTAGGACCTATTCGTTGAAGCATGAGCAAACACCTCCGTATTGAAACAGAGACGGGTGCTCGATTGTTGTACCATGGAAAAGCAGTTGTCGTCACATTCACGGCTCGAACATCCGAACTCCGCGTCCTTGGATGCTGTGATGCCGGCTCCCGGCTGGTACTGCTTCGAGCCTCATTGGAGTGAGGTGAACACCTCACGGTCTTACTGAAAAAGAAGCTAGCGATCAGTGGCTATAGCTGCTATAGTACAGCAGCGCCAGAACCAGTAGCTAGTTCTAGCATTCTAGCACTCACCAGCACCACCACCACAAGCGAGAACCACGGCCTGCGACTGCTGCCACTGTTCTATACATACATCATGCTGTTCTTCTCCCTCCTCTGCTGATGCTACAACTGCCGCTCCTGCTGCAAACCTATTTGCGTTGAACACGAATACTGAAAACTGCTGGCAGACGGACAAGAGCGAAAGCGACGCTGACATGAAGAACCAGCTTACCTGAACTCAAAGCTCTCAACGGTCTCTACCCTACCCCCTCCCCCCTCAAACGCCGTTCATGTGAGCCCATCACGCGAAGGATCCACAATTCGCGGATAAGTGCTCCAGACCGCATCGTACACAATCCGTTCCTGAGGTTCCAACTTGAGACGAAGTAATCGTTCGGGGGACACCAAGAAACTACGACAGTGAATGAAGGAATATTCCCGAAAATGGAGTAGGGATCCCCGATAACTGAG